GTTTTAAAATAATATATATTCAAAACAAGTCAAACGCATGTACAAAAAAATTCGTTACACTATTGTTTACCACAGATGTATCCAGAGCCTTGAATAGTTCTATTTCACGTCAAAAGTCCACACAGGCTGATTCAATTGCTTTAGAATCCAAATGACAAGACCAATTATTCTTCTCTACTCTGTTATTACAATACAATCTTCGATTATAATATTTTAAAAGTCGCCACTATACACTCTTTATGGGTAAACTTACAAACACTGTTTAGATCTATATCTCTCACTAACTTTGTCTTACTTTCACTAACATAACTTATGCTAACTTGGTCGAATATATATATATACCTTGCCCAACCGAGGTCTAGAACTTAATACAAACCGCGAGACGCTATACTGTAACAATAATCACTTAAAGCAATGAGAAAAATACAGAAGGTTCGAGTATTGTGGCGTCAATTCACAACAAATGAATCGTAAGCAGTTACGTTATCAAACTCTCCATAACTACTGTTTCTAAAAATAACTTACTTTAATGCTTGCACAATATTGTTTGTTTGTTTGTAGTTAAGCACAAAGCTTCACAGTGGGCTCACTGTGCTCTGCTCACCACGGGTATCGAAACCCGGTTTATAGCGTCGTAAGGCCGCAGACATGCCGCTGTGTCACAATATAAACTACACAATACTCTCGTACTAAAATTAAAATGAACAGTCGTTTATATCAAACAATAGCGCCTCGGCTATGTCTCACTTATCTCAGCCAGCCTGATGAATCGTGATATTGAACGAAAGGCCTTGTCGGCACTGAATATAACAAATATAGCGTGGTTGACATACTTAATTTTCACTTATAAGCTTTATACTTAACTAAATGTTCATTAAAGTGTAATAACATCCAAATAATAATAACAAGTATGAACAGTCAGAACTTAAGATCATCGCTCATTCTTAATTTTTTTCTCCATTGTGTATTTAATTTAAAACTATGATTCTGAGTCGAAAGTATAAATAAGAAGAGTGACTGGTTCAGTGATAGAAACACTTTACAGTGTAATTTTTTTAAATATTGTCCAAACATTTACTACAACTGTTTATTTTGTAGGATTCTAAGTCTAATAATAGACTAATCGTCTAAAGCTAGTAATATCGTAGAACCAAAAGTTATCGCGAGGAAAATGATTGTACTTGGAATTTTTAACTAGTAGTACTTAGGATAAAGTTTCACAAAAACCTCTTAAGATCTTTTCTAAATTCATTGTTAAGCCAAAACTTAAGAATTTCGTAAGATATTTCCTAAACTGTTTCACAGATTATATTAGGCTAAACACGACTTCAGAAGTATCTTAAAACCTTAAACATAATTTATACAAAATGCCTTAATTCTTTAGTTTTCAGAAGCTTCACACGTTCTTGTCATTATTTATTTTAACAATTTTTGTTTTCAGTTTAAATAATAAAAAGTAACAATCTAAACACTAGAGGTCATAGAGGTTGTTCAAATCTGGTCTAACAACATTCACATTGGTTTAGTTACAAATATGTTTTACTTAAAAACAATTGCTTGTTTGTTTGTTACGAATTTCGCGCAAAGCTACACGAGGGCTATCTGCGCTAGCTGTTCTTAATTTAGCAGTTTATTTAATAGTGAAATACGATTACACTTAACTTCTGATCAAAGCCAGCTTCATACACAGATTAGAATATAAATTGATCAATAACAGATTTAAGTAATTTAAACTTCATAAAAGTTGTTTTGGTTTCAACAACGGATTTTCCATAATTCAGCTACGCAGATTTCGAAAATACTATACTTTTTTCTATCACGCAAGGATTTTTTACAAATCGTGGAAAAAAAAAACTCTTACTTAGAACAAATTATTATTTTGTTTACTACAATGATAAGTTTAATTATGTTTGTTAACAAAAATATTAACAAAATGAAGAACATTGATGTCAAACGAATATGCAAAGCTACACGAGAGATATCTGCGTTAGCCGTCCCTAATTTAGCAGTGTAAGACTAGAGGGAAAGCAACTAGTCATCATCACCCACCGCCAAATCTTGGGGTACTCTTTTACCAACGAATAGTGGGATTGACCGTCACATTATAATGCCCCAACGGCTAAAAGTGCGAGCATGTTTGATGCGATGGGGATTCGAACCCGCGACCCTCAGATTGTGAGTTGAGCGCCTTAACTACCTGGCCATGCCGGCCCATAACAAATATGCATCCTCATTCATCCTGATTTTTCTGTGAAATCTACCTCTCGTAGTCTTACAACTAGGTGTTGTGGTTTTTCTTTTATGTATTGCGTTGTGATATTTTGTGAAAAACCTATACGCGATGGAGAAAATGGATATCATTTTTGGATTCAGCGAACAGGAATTACTGTAGGACATATAAAAATTTCAAGACAGTAAAATCATCGCAGTCTTGTGTAATTAATATAGACAATTCTAATACTATGATTTAGGGTAATAGGATTAGTAATTATGAAGGATAAGCTGACACATTTCGTGTATCCATAAATGGGTTTGTATTTTAAAGAGCAGGAGTAAAACTAACAATTATACATCTAGAAGTGGCAATCAAAGGTATACATCTCCTGTTTTGACACTCCCAGTATTGGAGGATCTAATTCAGTTAATCTACTAACTATGGAATTGTTTGATAGTTGGGTAAATATTCAAACACGGGTCTCAACTCAAAAGGGAGATCTAAACCTTAAAATGTATGTCTATGTCACTTGACCAAGAGCCACGATTCTTTGAAGATACTATAATTTTATTCGCGCTCCCTAGCTTGTACTCTGTAACTTCTCTAATGTCTGTATAAATAAAAGTATACGTTTGTTGCCATCACTCTTGAGTTTAACCTATTTCAGAAGTCATCAATACAACTAGGCTTTACAAGGAATACCATGCATAGTTTTGGTATTCGTACTGGAAAAAAAGGGGATTTAACTTATTGGAAATGGTACAAAGTGTGACTACTAAGACAATTTTAGAGCTATCGTATAGGAATAGGTTAATATTTCTTGACTTGGTTTCTCTTTAGGAAAGAAGTGTAAGAGATGATCTTATTGGAGTTTATGGGAATATCCGGGGTATCAACAAGATAAAGGCCTTTGGTTTATTTATGCTGTATTGGGAGACAACAGGACAAGATAACACGAGTTTAAGATTTGAAATACAGAATGAAGTTCGATTAAGACAGTTTTATTTTTCTAACAGGGTGACTAAATGTGGAATCAGTTAAAGGAGAAATAGACAATTTCCAGCAGAAAAAATAAATAAAGGATGTGCTTAGTTTTTTACTTTTTCTCAAGGATGGATGTACAGAGACAACCTTCAAGGATCAAATTGTCCCTTCTTGCCCGTATATTGTGTTATGCTACAACAAGTTGTGAAATATCAATTCTAATAAAGTTTCAAGTAGAGGTTGAAACAGGTAACTCAAAAGAAAAATATCGCCACAGGGTTTCTTGTTGCCAGTCTGTTAAAAAGTGGAACAAAATCGTAATGTGTTGCGAAAGGAAAGGACCTCAAAACAAACAGACAAGACAATTACAACGACGAACTGTTAGACCATCAATTGAAAGAATAGATATTAATATCTTTCACCCATGACAGAATCGAATGACCGAAAAAAATACACCATGCAGGTAATGGACTATTAGTAGCGGTAAGCGAATATTGCATCAAATTATAAAGCTGAAACACTGAACTGATTGATGATATTTTCATCAAGTAAATAGGTACCCACTGAGCTTCATTTTGACCAACTACGGAGTTTTGAATCAGTGTGATGTTTTTATATACCTAAGATTTTAAGAATAAAGAACACCAAAACAGCCTTCAACTTTTATTGAAGTGATAGAGCAATACAACAGTATTCATTTCAGGTACACCGTTTACAACTGTCCTGGGATTCTCGAGACTCTGAAAAAAACCTAGGTAAGCCAGTGATAAGATAAAGTAATGCCAATGTTTAAAAATCTGGGTTTGACATTATGAACAAAAGAAAGTGAAATATATCTTCAAAACTAAGGCCAAAAACAGTATTGAACCAGAGCAACTTGAGTAGCTATAGAAATATCAGGGTGAGGAGAAAGACCGTGAATACCAGTAAACTGACTGAACTGGACGAGGATCCTTAAAACAGGTCATGAGTGGTGCTGGAGAGTTAACCCTTTATCTGATTCTAAATAACAGAAAACTTCCTTATCCCCTGAAATATTCCTAGAGCCAAGAAACATCTAATGTAAAATCACTTTATCTCAAACTTCTCTAAGTCAAGAAAACCAAGACAACAAATTTCACGACTTTGTATACATCCTGCTAAGTAAGTTAGTAATGAATTCGAAAGTTTTATGAATTCTCACTCTCCTTTGTAAAGTCTGTAAGTGAATAACTAAAGTATTTTAATTAATACATAAGACACAACGAACCAAATGCCAAAAGTGGGCGGAAATTGGAGCGTACTGGGAATCTGTTTTTCCTCACGTAACCAGAGGTAAAAAAAAGTGACAAACTCAGTTGCAGGATAAAGACAGAGGCAATTTATAGATCTTTAGATTCACGAAACAGCTGGGTGTGCAGTGAACTCGATGAGTATAGTAATGAAGACATTATTTTTCGGAACTTTCATGGATGAACAACTTAAATTGTGTTAATTTTTGTTCTACACTTATGTTGATATTTTTTAATGATTCAAAAATGCGATTGGAGAAACTAGATTAACTTTTTAAGTAATTAAGCTATGGATTTTGCCCCTCAGACAATTTCTGTGTCCATTATAAGTTACATGTTATTATTTATAATAAAGCAGTGTTTCCTCATCAAAAGAAAATAAAATACCAAGGAACATTCCAAGCTTATAAATTAGTTTAAAACTGAAAAAAGGTATAGTTATATATAATTCTTCGTTAGTTTCATATACTTCACAGTAGAATGCCGACAGCGACACTTAACCAGTTTTATAAATACCTTAACTCCCTTACCTATTATGTAATCATATTCCATATCAAATTGACCGTCAGGAAGTTGTACTCTTCTGTCAGCAGAGCGAAAAAATATCAAGGCCATAATTGGTAGCAATGCACCGAGAAGAGAGAACGCACCTGCCATTGTAGTAGTTGTGTTAATAACACCTTTTAAAGTAGGAACTACACCAAAATATTTTAAGTCCAACTGATAATTTTCAGGATTTTTTATGCGACTTTCAGCCTTCGGAACATTTAGAGTTTGCTTCTGAATTTCACCCAAGAGAAAGCCTACACTACTCGTGACTAGCAGAATGTTAAGTACGTATAAGAACTGAAAAATAGGGTTGTTTACAAAGCACACATTTTTCTTTCGAAATCATAGTGTAGAAACGCCTAACGAACAGTCCACCCTCCTCTTCTCTAAGTATAGGAATACGCCGAATAAAAATAGTTCGCATCTGCATGTGAGTGTATTCGGTTAACAACTCGTTTTCGCAGTCGTCAGGGTTGCGGTCACCCCAGGTCCCGGATCACACGAATACTTCGGGCGGTATTCGCTTGGGCGGAGTTTTCCCTTAGCTTCCGACATGGAGCAACCTGGCGCCCGGTAGCAAGCACACCAGATAATACCGGACAAAGTAGCAAAGTTGACAAAACAAGGTTAGTAGATTCAGGTAAACAACGAAGTCCGCGCACAAGGATATGAGGCAAGGCCAAGGTCCGCTTCAATAAGCCTGTTCTGTAGGTTAGCACGGAAAATATCTGAGTAATAAAGTGTTGGTTTATTCTTAATCTATAATTTTCTCCAGTCAACAAGGGTGTTAATAAGCTCAAGACTGGAATAAACACAAATATTATGAAATGCCCTTTTAAAAAACAAACCAAAAAACAAGTAAACCATTCATATAAAGCTTTAAAAATATGATAAATTCCAAAATATGCATTCACTTTATATGTTACTGGAACAAATCCTCACCGTGTGAAGGTGTGCACATTCAAGTTTTACTGTGACAACATCATCGTCTGTGTCACAAAACACACAGAAGTGGATTTTTCCTAATGAATGAACATTAAAAAGAATAAAAGGTAACCCAGTTTCGTATTACAATCGTGTAAAACACGTTGATCCTATGTATAGATATGGGTGTATGTGTCTAGGTCACTCTGGAATATGGAACATCTTTTGTTTTTATATTGGTTCAGTGTCACGTATTGATCTTTCATAATTACACGGTTCGACTGACAAGGAGTATGTATTGAAGTAAAAGTTTTATGATATTGAGTGCATTTTATGTTATATAGATCTTGTGATAGTTGAGACTACACTTGTATAGAGACTTAGAAATCAATTTGAAATGTATTGCAGTTTCTACTTAATAGCTAGTGTGGCATTTACTGAATGAAGTATCTACACATAGCTTCTTTGGTACAGAAAAACTTATATGGACTTACAGGAAGCTGATACTATATTCGAAAGAACAGTTATGATATGCAGGCTGTATTGGTCAACGTGAGCTTTTAGGTTTGTTACTTCTATTAAAAAAAAGAAACTAAAGAGTTTGGTTACATCCATGTAGGGAAACATCAAATACTCTACAACAACTCAAAACACTCTGTAAGAAACACGAAAAACTCTATAAGAAACCCGAAACACTCTTTAAAAACCTCAAAATGCTCTGTAAGAAACCCAAAACACTATAAGAACCTCAAAACGCTCTGTAAAAACACGAAACACTCTCTAAGAACATCAAAAGGCTCTGTAAAAACCTTAAAACGCTCTATAAAAAAAACCCGAAACACTCTCTAAGAACCTCAAAACGCTCTGTAAGAAACCCGAAACACTCTCTAAGAACTTAAAACACTCTAAGAGCCTCATGTACTATGTGAGCCCTATAAGTACCTTCGAGACGCTCTATATGAAAGATGTTTATTGGGTGAGTGAATAAATTCAACAAGAAACTATACTTTCATTTTTCTATTGTCATACACTTGTATCTGGACTTGGGAGAGATAATACGGTTCTAATTTTAAACCAATTTTATTAAAGTTAATAAATGTTATCTCCCTAATAAACCCTCAAAAATATAGGCCTATATCAGGTGTCGGTTAATGAAAATAATAACCGAAACTTGATGTAGACCTATGACTAAAAGCAGTCATGATTAAAAGTTTTTATTTAAGAGGGTTTTTAGGATGTTTATTTATTTGTTTTTAAGCACAAAGCTACACAATGAGCTATCTGTGCTCTACCAGCCACGAGTATTCATCAAGCTAAATATTTAATGTTATATGCCTTCAAACCTACTGCTGAGCCCACCAGGTTGGGGAGGGGGGGGTAAGTTAAGAAAGTTCATTAACTTCGAAAAAGTTATTTAAAAATGTATTTAAGTACCCTCAGAAGAACGCTATGTAAGGTAAATTATGTTTTTCTAATTTTCAGGTTTTTAACTTATGAAAATTAACAGTGTATTTGCCGATATCTCTTCATTCAGTAACAGTGGTATTACTTAAAAAAATTGAGTTTCAGAAAAAGCTCGATGTTGAAAAATGGAGAGTATGGACTTTGCTAATTCAAGTGTAGGACTAAAAAGAAAGTGACTGTTTGTTTTTTGGCTACATTGACTATTCTGGTTTATCGTACCAGAAGATAACGTGAGACTGAAGAGGGCGTACGAATGAATCGCATATCTAGTTTCTCCAATATTAGGCCTTCTTACAGTTTGCTCCATTAACTGTAGTTTGTCCCTAATTACTACGTACGATACTGTGTTCTTTTAATATTCCACTATACTTTGTGCCTACGAGGCTGTAGAGATATTTCCGTATTATCGTCATCCAACTTTCTGATTGGTCATCTACAAAGAGAAGGTGGACTGTAAACTCAGTACTGGAGGACTTTTTTCAGACAGATTCGTTTCTGATCTTGTAAGAACCAAACGTATTGTGAAGTAATATCTTTGTTTTATTTCGTGCATGATTTATCTTCATAATCATTAAAGTTTATTCTCATTTATCTTTCGCTAAATACAGCGTTCTTTTATTTGCTCTTTCTATCCAAATATAGTTTATTTCATTTTAATTTAATCACACAACCTAATAATCCACCGTAACAAACATTCTATTTATTTTCAACTTAAAGTTTTATTTCAACTTTACACCTTGCCTTGTCTTTTTCTTCATTCCATCTACAATAAACCACTACGACTGTCCTTAGACACTTAGGTCCTCGAATCTTCATTTATTGCGAAGATCGGGTAACTGTATGTTGCTTTAACCTGGCAAAAATATCCATTCCGATGCAACTAATAAGACTGTGAATAACAGAGAGTTAGAAGGATTCATTTCAAAAAAGACGAAGTAAAGAGACTAAACCAGATTTATAGCATAAAACAGTTGTGTCTATATTATAATCTTAACATCACGCAGAACAAAGTTTAATAAATACTATTACCGTGTAAAACATTAAGGTAAAACATTACAAACTACTGACTGAAAATAAGTAAATAAAACTAAGTTTACTCAGCTTAGAGATAAGACTCTCAAAATATACATACTGATCTAATCTAATTGGACTTTGTTAAACCAAGTATTTCTAGGTGAGAAATAATGTTAAAGTGATGGAGACAAAGTAGCAACAGTGCTAAAACTTAAATACAATGCCATTGTCTGTCTAACTAAAGTATTTCTGTGTGAGAAATAATGTTAAAGTGGTGGAGACAAAGTAGCAACAGTGCTAAAACCTAAATACAATGCCATTGTCTGTCTAACTAAAGTATTTCTATGTGAGAAATAATGTTAAAGTGGTGGGGACAAGGCAGTGCCAATACAAACGCAGTTTGACAAGTTCTTTGTATAATTCTTTCTGCCAAATTTCAAATAACTGTTAAGAGAACATAATTAAAAATCGCCCTTTCCATTGGTTATAAACATCTAGCTCAACTAAGTATAATTGGCTGAAAAATTAGTAGACAGGATACTACACAAAAGGCGTTTTCACATGTGTGGAAACATAAGATATAGACTAGAATATAAACATTGAAAAGCACACGACAGTAGAAAAGAAAACAGGAACCAGACAAATAAAAGCATAGAATTATGATACCAAACATTCTATCCTCACAATAACAGTGGATAGGATAAAATATAAAGCTCTAGAAATAGATCTCTGGCGATATCGTATCTTATGACAGTAAAGAAACCAAGAAGCTAGAAACTTGGAACGCACGAAAATGTTAAAATGATCTTAAAATATGATGTGCCGTTGCCACAACTCAATGCACCTTTAGCACAGGCCAATTTATTGAAGTAATTCCAAGTTAAAACCTTAAACTTGGTATTACCGTTTTTCCTGTAGGAGGAAGAGGCATACGTTCTTACCTAATGTCCACGTCACAAAACAAACATGCGATTCCTACCTCACATTAGCACCTAGAATAAAAGCTGCAAGAAAACAAAACACATGACATTTCTTAAAAACACAACACAAAACTAAAGATAAGACTAATTTAACCAAACAAATAGGTACATGACTATATTGGTCTAAACTAAATACAGACTTAACACATACCACTAACCCAATGTAATGCAGCCGAAAATATCATTTCGAATTGAACTTAACAAACATTCTTAGCATATATAAAATGATAGTACCTCTCTCTTTTTTTATATCATCCATTTAAAAAAAACCTATATAATAAAATAATTAAAAGCTTGGACAGACATACAACACATATCCTGACTTATTGTTACAGCTTTAGTTAATTTAATGGAAATTATGTGGCCATTTATAAGCATAAAAGCAAGAGGGAATCCTCGATAGCCGCGACACTTAAAATTCTTTAATGTTAATCTAGGCCCAGCATGGCCAGGTGTTTAGGGAGCTCGACTAGCAATCTGCGGGTCGTGGGTTCGAATCCTCCCTCCCACTAAACATGCTCGCCTTTTTAGCCATGGGGGCGTGGTAATGTGGTTATTCGTTGGTAAAAGAGTAGCCCAAGAGTTGGCGTTGGGTAGTGATGACTAGCTGCCTTCCCTCTAGTCTTACACTGCTAAATTATGGACGGCTATCGCAGATAGCTCTCGTGTAACCTTACGCGAAATTCATAACAAA